GCCCTGTCTTCCTGCGGCCATAACACCGCAACATCTAACCGGAAGCCCTTACTCATTTGATTTATACCTGATTTTTCCTCCTGGAGTTCTGGGTGGCAGATGTAGTATACTCCCCACAGCAGCCACTCTGAAATAAAGGTCTAGTCCAGTATCCTAACCCTATACTATTCTGGCTCTTTCCAAGCTTTTTCCACACAGAACTCCCTATCTTTGTTCTCTCTAGGTGTTGGATGGAGAAGGGGCAGCTTGGCCATAGAAACAGCTGCTTTTGGCATTCACAAGTAATTTACCCTCCCCTCCTTTCAAGTTCAAATTCTTTGCTACACTACAAACCTTATTGGTGGCAAACTCATCCACATCTACTAAGGATGAGAGACTAAGAGACTAAGTTGCATTGACTGTAGTATATTGAGCCACTTTGATTTCTCTCACTTATGAATCAAACAAAAGGAATGCTTTCCTTCAAAACAAATTTAGGCACTTTCTATTGAAGATAGATCGTGCTGCATTTTTCTGATACTTTTTGTCATGAGAGCAAATATTTTCACAGGTAACAATTACAGCTGGTAAGGAAACCAACCTGACAGAATATGGCACATCAGCAATTAGAGCATTTCAAATTATGACCCGGAACGTGCTTATACTCTAAAAGTACCATCTTTGATCTAGACTGGTGTCCATCCAGTGAGAATTTCTCTTAGCTTTATTTGGAAAATATTGGTATTATAGTAGTTGAATTGCATATCTTTGCTTCACCCCAGATTCCCAGCAATGCAGTTGTGTCTGTTGTTTTTTAAGAACTTCCCATCAACACTTTGTAGGCTGCTTTCCTAGCTACAGGCTACTAGGAAGAAGGAAGGAGTCCAAAATCTCAGTACCAAGGAAGCAAATTAACTCCACCCACAACTAGTGGTGTAAATGCTAATAAGTCCAGTTCTGAACTTGTGGCTGGTAACACCTAGAAGTGGCACAGATATACAGTTGTGATTGGCTACCATAACTAGGCCAAAGCTAAAGTACCTCAAAAAAATGATGTCTCTCTATCAGGAACAACGTAAAATCACAAGTTGCCACAGGAGTACAATTTCATGGTACTGGTTTCAGGCATAGTGATCAGTCAAAGTGGCAAGTACAGTACTGATGCACAAGTTCTCAGGAACAGGAACATTATTGTAAAAAGTAAAAAAAAAATGTGGCCATGGGAATCATTGCCAGCAGAAAAGCAAAAAATCTGTATTACACCTCATACAACAGATCAAGCAACAGTTTGTAGAACCAAGCTCAGAAGTGGTCAAAAGAGTACCATGTTTATAAAGAGCTCATATACATAAAGGTTTTAAGTGGTTTGGGAGTGTTGATTTGGTGTCTGTGCCAAGTACCTGTGACAGTATGAAACAGCCATACAAGCTGTGTATATTCCAATATCCAACCATGTTATTACAATTTATGAAAGCGTGTTAACTGCACTACATCAGAAGAAGGAAAACAGTACCTTATACCAGGGATCCCCAACTCCCAGTCCGTGGACCAGTATAGGGCCGCGGAATGCCAGCAACCGGTCCGCACAAACAAGCAAAGTCCTATCTGTGAGATGCAGGCAGCACACAAAATCACGCACCCTCCGGTCCATGGAAAAACCTCTCTCCACAGAACTGGTGCCTGGTGCCCAAAAGGTTGAGGAGCTTTGCCTTATACTGTAACTCAAAATACTTAAGGTTAATTAAACTGCCTCAGTTGTGGGTTGGAGATTGGACAAAGTTTCAAAGAAGGTGTGTCTTATCTGTCCTGCAGCTAAGGGTCACGAAGAAGTCCACAGTCATTTCTATTGTTTGATCCATCGGTGGATAAATATACCCATAACACAAGGAGCATTGCGCAGAACCCTAACCTTAAACTGTGCTCTGCTTTGGAAAAAATATAATCTATGCAGTAGTCTGAATGAATTAATGTGAAATAGAAATAATCATACATTACTCTGCCCTAATCTCACTTTAAGTAACAATTCACCAGGTCATCAAAAGATATAAGCTGATGTGTAATCCAATTGCCTCCATAATATTAGAATTTCTTAAGGCCACTTAATTCTCAACTTTCACCTGGTAATTTTTGTATTAAGCAAACATTGCCATCTCAAAAACTAATTATGCTTCAAACAATAAGACCAGTTTTATAAATGGGGTGTTGTCTTTCCTGAACGCTTTTTCTCAGCATGGAGATGGAGAATCCACCAATGGGTTAGCTCTGTCTTCCTGCCCATTAGACTAAGTCAAACTTGCCACGCCCATCCTGGACCAGGACACACCCAGTCTCAAGGGCGAAAGCTAATGACGACAGTCCGGACCCTAAGGGGTGGGAGCGGATTCTCCATCTCGATGCTGAGAAAAAGCGTTCAGGTAAGACAATGATAGATGGAGAATCCACCAATGAGATATACCAAAACCTCACTGTCCCTATGAGAGGGAAGCAGTCAGGGCCGGTATCTTGTTCCTAGGCAACACCTGTTGGAGGATCCTCCATCCAAACAAGGTGTCCGTGGAGGCAAACCTGTCCAGTTTATAATGCCTCACAAATGGGGAAGGCGAAGACCACGTCGCTGCCCTACAAATGTCCTTGATGGAAGCCTGTGTGGCCCATGCCGCAGAGGTCACTGCACTGTGAGTTGAATGCACTGTAACATGACTTGGAACAGCCAGGGAATGCGACTGATACGCCCCCACAATGCAGGCACTGATCCACCTGCCTATGGTCGAGGCAGACACCTTCTGCCCCAGAGAGGAATTGTGGAAGGAAACGAAGAGGGCTTCAGACTTGTGGAAGGCCGCCATTTACTTGATATAGTAGCGTAATGCCCTGCAGACGTCGAGTGCATGCCATTGCCATTCCAAGTCATGAGACGGATCAGGGCAAAAATCTGGCAGTACGATTTCCTGAGCCCTATGAAACAGGGTGTTGACCTTGGGAATAAAGGTAGGGTCCAAACAAAGGACCACCTGGTCCCAATGAAAAATGCATAGGTCATCCCTAATAGAAAGCGCTACCAGCTCAGAAATCCGCCTGCTAATGTGATTGCAACTAGGAAGGTGACCTTGAGGGACAAGGACCGCAGGACACAGGTTCTGATAGGCTCAAAGGGTGGTTTGGTGAGGGCCTGTAGGACCCGCAGCAACTCCCAAGAGGGATATCTATGGGCCACTGGGGGCTTGGTTTTGGTGGCACCCTGATAAAGGAGCGTAATCAACGGATGTTGAACCAATGGCGCTGAGTTGTCACAGATAAGTAGAGTGAATAGAGCCGCCACCTGTCTAAATATGGTATTAGGCGCCAAGCCCTTATCGAGGCCCTCCAGTAAATAGTCCAAGATTCTTGGAATAGTCAAATCCGAGATAGTCAGGTGGTGTCTTTTGCACCAATAGCAGAAATTCTTCCATGTGGAATCATAGATGCGATTTGTCGCCGACCGTTGGGAGGCCTGAATCATGGAAATGACTCCTGGCGAATAGGATTCCCGAGATAGGATCCGGCGTTCAAGTGCCAGGCGGTTAACTGAAGCCACTGGGGTTCTGGATGTTGCAGAACTCTCTGGCTGAGTTTGATGTGACTTGGAGGAATCCTCCATGGTGGAGAACTGGAGAGATTCACGAGGTCAGTGAACCATGGCCTCCGCAGCCAGTGCAGGGCCGTGAATATCACCTCCGCCCGCTCTTGCAGTATCTTGCAGATAGCTGCTGGGATCAGAGGGAGAGGAGGAAACACGTAAAGTAGGCCTTGTGGCCATGGACTCCGGAGAGCATCTGCTCTCTCCACCCCCAGAGACGGGAACCAAGAGAAGAATCTCAGGTGATGGGAGTTCGCTGGAGAAGCGAACAAGTCCAGAACCGGTCGGCCAAAACTCTCCGATATCTCTGCGAAGAGATCTGGGTGCAGGCGCCATTCAGAATGATCCACGGTCACCCTGCTTAAAAAGTCCGCCTGTCGATTTGCCTCCCCCGAGATGTGCTCGGCCCTAAGGGAAGAAAGGTTGGTCTCTGCCCAGGAGCCCAACAAGTGGGCCTCAGCCATGAGGGACCTGGACCGGGTACCTACTTGCCGGTTCACGTGGGCTTTTGCCACCACGTCTGTGAGGACTAGCACGTGTTGCCTTGCAACCCTGTTGCGGAAGTGGCAGAGAGCCAGGTGTATGGCTCTGAGCTCCAACCAATTGATGTTGTGCCTCAGGTCTAACCTGGACCACTGGCCCTGAGCCAACTGCGACTGAAGGTGCGCTCCCCAGCCGAACAGATTGAAGTCTGTTGTAAGGGTGAGCCAAACGGGTTCCTTGAAGAATGACCCTCTGGCTACCGCTGGGGAGGACCACCACTGAAGGGAACTTAGGGTCTGGGCAGAAACCCTTACCCTTTGGTTGGAGGAGCTGGTGCCTAATCTTTGAAATGGGAGCAAGAACCATTGGAAGTTCCTGGAGTGCAGTCTGGCCCAAGGCACAATTGCGATGCAGGATATCATCTTTCCTAGTAACTGGGAAAGCATTGCCAGTGTCACCACGCGCTCCCTGTGGACCTTGCGGACCAGGGCTCGGAGACAGGTAGACCTGGCATTGGTCTGTGTCTATGACTGCCCCTAGGTAGAGGAGGCGGGTCAAGGGAACCGTCTGGCTCTTTTGAAAGTTCACTGAGAACCCGTGGTCTTGGAGGGTGTTGATTGATAACACCAGATCCAACTGGGCAGCCGAAAGGGAGGGTGACTGGATGAGAATGTCGTCCAGATAGAATTGAACAAGTACCGGTACCAGTTGTTATGGTTCCGGCTAATGAAACATTTAAAAGAACTTCCAGGCATTATTTTCCTAAAAGTCTTTTATTGTTACAAAATGTCGGCACAGGCACAACGGAGGGATGCTAAGATCTAAGTTCTCTTCCTCTGAGCAGTTAAATTAACAGCATGTTCCCTCCCTAAATTAGCCGTCATATCTCACATTATCCAATTAGTGTGAAGGTCAAATGTTTTCTTCCTCTTTCTTTCTCGGGCTTTACCCCCAACCCCCCTTCTGCTCTGTATTAACCCCATAATTACCAGACAATTCTGCATATTGTCAAAAGCAAGAATATACAATATTTGCAGCATTGATACCAGGCTCAAGTGTGCGGTGAGCACTGCCAGGATTTTGGCAAACACCCTTGGAGCTGGTGAAAGGCCGAACGGCAGGGCTTTGTACTGGAAATGATGGCCCATATAACAGAACCTGAGAAAGTGCTGTTGGTTGGGGAGGGTGGAGATGTAGAGATACGTTTCCGTGAGGTCTATGGACGTCAGGAAGTCTCCCTTCCTTACGCTGCCCAAGATGGACTGGAGCGTTTGCATCTTGAATTTCCTGTATGCAATATGTGAATTCAGACCTTTGAGGTCGAGAATCGCCCTCCATCCTCCCGAGGCCTTGGGAACCACAAACAGCTGACCACCCTGATAAGGGGCCATAGCCAAACACCACTTAGATTTGGCGTCAGCCTGCCAATGCTTGAGCTACAGTAGTCGTTGTGCTGTAACATTGGAGACTATGGTCCTGGAAGAAAATCTGGCTGCATGCAGTGATACATCAAAGACGTACTCTGATGCTGCAACTAATTTGCTCAGTCCTTGGTGGATGCGTACCTCCTTCTGAGGGATCCTGGATTGGAGTTGACAGAGCCAGAGGAGAGAGGTCCTGGCAAAGAAAGATGTGCAAGTGGCTGCTCTTACCGCCCACGCTGCCTGGTGAGTTCTGCCGAAGGTCAATTCCCATCTCTTGTCTTCAGCCTTCAATGCCTCGGCCAGATCCCCTGACACCGCAGATGAAGTCAAGAGAGGGGTCAAGGGTTCATCCACTGTTGGCACCTCAAGAGCGTCAGCCAAGTCTGGTACTGCGCTGAACAGTTTCCTGTCCGTTCCTCCCAGGGAAGGGAAGGTGCCAGGTGAAGCCCATTGCTTCCAAATGGCGTTCAAGAATAGAGGTGGAAAGGGAACATGGTGCTGAGTCACAACGGGCTCAGAAAACACCGGATTTGGATCTGAACTGGTTGGTGGACCTGGCTGAGGAATGCAATCAGGACCTATGTTAGTGGTAATGCTAGCATTGCAAAGCAGTGGTAAGAAGGCCGGGTTAAAGAGACCCCCAAATGGCGGGGGGTTGGGTCTTCCTCCTTCGACCACGGAATGTCAGTTTGGTCGTGCTCCGCAGGAGATGAGGCCCTACTATGAGAGGATCGGGGTGGTGAGGGAGAACCATGGTACTCGGGTACTTCCGACTGGAGAAGATATGATGGGGGCATGGATGCAACCGACTTGGGTCTAGACATATGATAAGACCTGGTGGCAAAAGCCTGGCCTGATCAACTGCCTTTGAGATTAGAGCTTGAAGGTGTTCAATGGAAAGAGCTCCTGGAGGCTCAGCTATCCTGAGCCCAGCAGCTGTTGGAGTGATAATGGTCTCTGGGCCCGACTGTGGGGCCCATGGCGCCGATGATGCCTGGCAGATGTTTGGATCGTGATCCTCCCCAGAAGAGGGGTGGTGTGTGGGAATCCCCTCCAAGGACCAGGCTCCCTGAACAGAGGTGGAGGGCCCCAGGGGGAGGTCAAAGACCAAGGCCTCTGTCTGCTCTGTCTCTGCCCTGGCCTGCCTCTGCGCTTTGGAAAATTCCCTCTCCAAAGCCTGGTGCCTCCTGCTAGCCTGCTTTTCCACCAGTTTGGAAGGTTTCCTTCCCAAAATGGTTTTCGCCTTGGCCTTGATCTTGCCAGCTGCCTCCTGTTTAGAGGACTTATGCCTATTTTGACTAACGGATGAAGAGGCAGTGTCTTGAGGTTGGGGCACCATAGTATCCTCCATCATAAGGTGAGATATCTCAGGTAGTGCTGAGAGGGAACTCGGGCCTATGGAGCCAAGTACAAATTATGACAGTGGATCACCTGGCGGATTAGATTAGTACACATGGAACAGACAGAGGCTTGATCCACCCTGCTCCCCTGGCTACCTGACTGGTGGTTGCCCATTACAGGTCCGGTCGTGTCTACAGCCACGGCAAAATCGCGTATGTGATGACAGCCAGTTTGCTCGTAGAGCGCTCAGTGGTGACAAGGCCAAAGGTTGGTGTCAGCACATTTGTGCGGCGGTTGAATCTGCGGAGGTGGCAAAATCACATGCGTGATGACAGCCAGCACACACGCAGCCTGCTGAATGATGGCCAGGTGAGGAGATGAGGCACCAGTTGAGGCCTGTGTTTTATAATCTGTAGGCCTATTGGCTGATGTGCTTGGGTAAAACACCCAGTGTCCTATCATGTTTATGAGAAGCCTCTCTTAACAGGTATTTGTATTTTTTGTCTTAGGAGAGAAGCCTCTGTCACTATAAGGGATGAACACTCAACATTTGGAGTGGAAGACAAGTGTTTGGCCACTAGGCCCTATTTCTTCGGGGAGAGATCGGCTCCTGGTTATGCAGACAGTCCAAAACGGTGGCCGCTGCCACCACCACTCCCGCTAGACCGGGACTGGAGAGAAACGGGACAGAAGAATGATCTAGATGCAATCCAGATGGTCGCCCGTCTATTGCCAGGTAAGAGGGAAGTAGAGAGCCTGAGAGCAACTGAGAACAGCGGCGACGGCAGGCCACACGGTTTCCAAAATGGTGGCCACGCCGATCGGGCTGTGAAGGACACCTTCAAGAAGGCTCCAGGCGAACGCTGCGCGACGCCTTAGAGGCGTGAGAACGCAGGGCTAAAAAGAGAAAGGGGAGAGCCACAAGCCCACGAGGTAAGGCTGATTGGCAGCGGCTCGCCATGCAGCTGCCAACAATGTGGCTGCAAAGGGAACCAACTGGGGCCTCTGCAATGACCCAGGGGAGTTGAGGGGGTTCCCGGCTGTAGCGCTTATCCCAGCGCCACAATGGTGTGAGAGAGTGGAAGAGCGGAAGCCTCCGCTCTTACCAAGGTCTGGGAAGAAACCCTAGACTCCAGCAATCAAGCTGAAGCAGCACTAATCCCAGCGCTGTTGAAATGACCATGGAGATCAAGGGAGAATCCACAAATGGAATAGTTCTATACAACCTGCAGCTAAGCTGGGAGCCAAGCTTGTTATGTCTGTCTGGGCTGGAGACTAAGTCGAGACTGGGTGTGTCCTGGTCCAGGATGGGCGTGCCAAGTTTGAGTGACTTAGTCTAATGGGCAGGAAGACAGAGCTAACCCATTGGTGGATTCTCCATCTCCTATGCTGGAGAATAAACAATATGAAGACCTCCATATTGCTTAATATATAAAACAGGAAGGAAAGACTCCAGCAAGATCAGAAATCAACACACCTCTGCTCTTAAATAATTCTTGCCTGACACCTTTGTTACTGCTAACATTTCAGAGTAAAGAAGTAAAATTTCTAAAGATAGTATTACTTTCCTTGTATTAATATAGAAATTCTCAGACCTGAGGCTTGTGTATTGGTGTGTACCTTTGAGGTAATATTGATTAGTCCCTGCAATTTTATTGACAAATGATTTGTCAAAGTCAGTTTGTTTCTAGCCTAGTGCTCTGCCACTTTGATAAGTTGGCTCCCCACTGACTTTTCCACATTCTTTATTTAAACAATCAAGGCAACCAAGTGTGTTCCCAGTTTATACAAAGATTTTTCCTATCACAAGAACTTTATGCCCAACCTAAAGTACAGGATAACGAGAAGTCTGTTTCCCTCATAAACCACTTCTCCCTTTTCAAAGCTCTATCTTTTTTTTTTTAAGGCAAAAAAAAATTATTCCCAAGGGTGGATATTAAAAAGTTAGTGGTGCTCCAAACGCATGGCTATGACTCCCATTTTAATTCTTTGATAAACCCAGAGCCAAACCACCCAATAAAGAAGCTAAAAATATTTGTTGTTTATCAAAGCCCACCACCATTCTTTCCTATTTAAATATTCTCACTCTGGGTCCTGTTTTGATATCAGAACAAACAGCTGACATCTAAGTGATCATTGTTGCTAATTCTCATGCTGCTAAACTAATCAGTAATAATTTTTTTCCCAAATCTACAGCATTAGGCTTTCAGTATGTTTGATTTATACATTTGAAAATTAACCTAAATCAGTGTTCCTCAAATGCTCTCATCATAGCACTGGTGTAGAACCTGTGGCCCCCTCAGATAAACAGTAACACATAGCATCCCTCATCATTAACAATGCTGACTAATGCTGCCCTGAACTTAATTTAACAATAAGGGGGGGGGGCATTTTTTAAATCACCCCTGCATAAAATAATGCAATTGCATGGTAGAATACATACACACTGGGGAAAAAAGACCACTGAAACTGCTTGAATAACTGAGACTGTCTGCAATAAATGGATTGGTATTACAAAGTATATTATGTTTCTTTGGAGTTTTAGAAGATTTACATCTGTAATTTTTACCATTCAAAAGACATGAAGATATTTATAAACAAAAGCTTAACATCCATTGAGAATCATTAACCTAAGGACTTATAATGGAGAAATTATTGAATTTTGGAGATGAAAATATAATTTTCTTTATCCCATGATTAGGTACCATTTAAAACATGCAAGTCAGTAAACATTCTATGCTGCTAATTAGAGGAGTCAGATTTACTTCACAAGACACTGGACATAAGGTAATCAAAGAGAGTTTAGTGAGAATACAGTTATTTTTAATAATTCAAATAGCAATTTATTATGTCTATTATACATTGTTGCACAACTTGAGGCTGGTTAAATACAATTCATTTTCAAAATTTCTTGGGATAGTTTCTAGATTGCAACATGCAAGTGTCCATGAAAATATTTGGCTTTTTTCTTTTGAAATTCTGAATAGGCACTTACATGAGGGAATCAAGCTCTCTCTATCACAGGCTTTAAGAATAAGAGAAATGTCCCAGCACGCAGAGTATTCTTGGCTTTATCAAGGTGCCACAGTAATAAAACAATTCTTTTCTAAATATAATTTAGTAATTTTGCTTACTTCACACAGTAAGATAACCAACAATACTTGCACTGAAGTTTAGAAACGTTTTTGATAAATAGGCCAAGTGAATTGTAAATGTGAGTAGCCTTCTATTCAACATAGGGTGCTAGACAGGCAGTGTGGTTCTGAAAATTAGTTAATTGTGGACAAATGGAGGCTAACAAGATTTGCCCAGAGATACTATATTCCAGAATGAATTATAAAAAATAAATCAATCTTTTGCTGCACAAGAATACCATTTTCGGAAAAGCTAATGTTTTTTCCTCTATATATTTTTGTACAAGCCCACATTTCATCACAGAAGCTCAGCATGGAAAAGGAATATGATATTCTACATTTGGGGTGGACAGTGAAAAGTATGTATTTGATGCAAAAATAAAATTTTGTGCAAATGATCCAGTATTCAAGAGTGTAAATTAGTAAAAATTATCTTAAAACGTTTTATCATATACATGCACCCTTAACCAAACTGGGGTTTAATGAGAGAATTCTGTATTTTAGCCCAGTTCATATAAATCTTGAAGTGAATTGGAATCTGATCATAGAGTCATTGGAATGAGTATGCTAAGGGGAAGAAAAAAGAATGCAGCCACTTGTCTTGAAAAGCTAATTCTGAAAGAAGTTTGTTTGTACACATTCCTCAAAAAATTCTGAAAACGGTAATATGCTCTCAGATCTATTCCAAATACATTGTATTTTATATATATTATCTACTTCCCTGGGGTAAAGACAACAGTATCATTATAAAACCTGAATTTGTCATTTTAAGACAATTTTTTTTATTAAGTCTCCAATGTTACAGACAGCAGACATTGAGGAAATATGTATGATATGTAGTTGGATATAGAAAGAGGAAATGCTTTAGTTTACCATCAATGAAAGCAAAATTTAGATGCACCATACTACATGCATGGAAACACATAACTAGACTTCTTTAAGCTTTATGCAGCTCTGACTGCATCACACCAGATAAAAATAAAATGTGCAGTATAAAATAGCTTAAGAAAGTTCCAGTGTTTCAGAAAGCACTTACTTTAAATTTATGTACAGAACTGAATATTTACTTGAAGAATGCTTTAGTAGCGTGGAAATGCAGCACTGTAAGATGAGGAAGACTGTTGTAATGGGTGTTTGGCCTTTCTTTCCTACAGGCTGTTGCCACTTTTAATTTGCTGATCTACCGATATACCAGTTTTTCATCCCATAGATCCAGTTCATATTTCAGGCTGTTCTGCAGATGCCTGTGGCTCTGGACTTTCAAACCGCTGATGGAAGTTGGTTCTTTGTTTCCTCAGTTTCTCAGGAGCTTTTCTCCAGAGAATGATTTCCTATTTCAGGATGCAAGAAAATACCGGATTAATACACTGGTATGGTTACAGACTAAGTAGCTGCACTGGAAACTATCCAATCAAGCCCCTTCTTTGAATCTAGTTCTGTTCTGATGAAGTACAGCATATTTTATTTAGCTGCACCATTTTTATTGTCCTTTATACAACAGAATAAAGGACACAGTACAGGGAGTCCTTGTTTAATGACCATTTGTTGAGTGACCATTCAAATTTACAATGGCACTAATCAAATGGTAATTATGGCTGGTCCTCAAAGTTACAGCTGATGCAGTACCCCTGGGGTCCTGTGATTAAAATTTGGACATTTGGTGGCCTTCCGCATTTACAACAACAGCATGTACTTCAACTTCCTCCACTTGCCTGTCTTCCTCTCAATCTCTGTCCTTTTGGTTGTCCTGCACTTACTGCCACTTATTCTTGCCATTCCCCACTCTCCTCACCATCTTCTTCCTTCTGCAGCTGAGGGTGGGGATAGGCAAAAGTAGATGCAGGATGGTAAAAGAGCAGAGATGTCAGGCAAGTGGGGAGGGAGAAAGATGGGAGGGAGTTAAAGTGGAGGTGGCACGACAGGGCAGCAGAAGTGCGAGGTTCTTGTCTAACAATAGTGCAGTTCTGGCCTGACAGCTGCAACCAGCAATCATAGAACTGCTGTTGCTAACTGGTGCGGTCATATGTTTTGCCTAAATGACCACTTCACTTAGTGACAGAAATTCCAGTCCCAATTAGCATAATTAGGCAAGGGCTACCTGAATCCAACTGTGATAATGAGGTGTTTTAAGACTGTATTAAGATCAGGATTTGTTGAAATGGAATAGTCATTAAGTACTATCTAAACAAACATTCATAAGCATATAGTTTAATACTGAAAAATTTATGTTCAGTGGATATAGCTTGTTTAATTATATCAATTTCTCTGAGAAAAGCCAAAAGGTTTGTGATGTCAGTGTTAATTTTAAAACATACACTTCCATATGATTTTTTGGCTGTAAAAAACTACCATATCTGAAAGCTATCATAAACGCATTAATTTCATTAAAGTATTCCAGTTACAAAACCTTATACCTGCTGCTTGAAGTATCGTCTGTCTTCTTCATCTACGAGCACCAGGTTCAAGAAGTATCTTACAGAAAATTTTTTGTTTACATCTCTCATTGTGGGAGTAGGATCATAGCCAGCCAAAAAGAGTCTTATGGGAATAGATTCACCTTAAATTAAAAAAAAATTGTTTTTTAAAATAAATTGATTGCAAAGTTTAATACTGAATGATTTGCAAATTCATAGTTTACAATTTTTTTACAAGCCATTTTTCAATAAAGCTACCTGAGTTAATTGCCTGAAGGGCACAAATGGCTTTGTGGAAGTTTCTTTTTGGAATTTTAAGATAACCCCCTGCATGTCATTTTTTGGGGAATCACAGCTTTGTAGAGCAGGGATGTCAAACTGCCGGCCCATGGGCCAGATGCATCATTGCCAGCAAAAAAATCATGAGACGTTGCAACATGTCACGTAGCGTTGCAAGTTTGACACCCCTGACACTCCTCTTATTCTGACATCTGACTGTCACTGTAGGAAACAAGATGTTGAGCTAAAAAGTTTTTTAGTCTAATAAATTCTCATTGCATATTTAGTTTATCATAATAAAAGAACACATTTGACCTTATTTTACTTGACATATAAAAATAAGTACGGTAATGTTTTCTCATCTTACTTGCTTCATCAAAGAAGTAAAGACAAGTCGTATAGGAAGGAATTCCTAAATTAAGAGCTCAGTTATTTTTCAATACAGCAAGATTGTTTATAATTGCAGGTGTACTTAAAAATCTCAGCTGATACAAATATATCCTAACTATTCTGGATTACAGATAACTAAATGCACCCACTCACCTTTAACTGGTGCACCATCCATTATTTCATATTTTGCTATAGTTTCCGTTTCTGTTGTTGTACTGGGTCCTAGAGGGTTATATAAAAGTACAAATAAGTAGCATGATGTTTAGTTTAGCTTTTTCTCAATTTTCTATTTGTAACTGCAATTATTTCAGTAGGATAAAATCCAATATGAAGTATGCTTTAACTGTATCTTGTAACTTTACAACTGTACATTATTTAATTACACAAACATTTGAAAAATGGTTCTAAATGTCACAGAATTTTAATTTTTACATTAAGCAAGGTTTTTGTACTCCTGTAGTACTAAAACCAACCATCAAGATAATTGAATATGCCCCAAAGATGTGCTTGTTATTTCTGCACATCAATTTGCCAAAGCAAACAAATGTGATTCTAGCTTCTGAATATTTACTATAATTTGTTATTGTTCTGAATCATCTCTATTATCAAAAACTCTTATGCTATGCTTTTTTGAGATTCTTCTATATTTTAAGCCATTGTATAAAAGTCTTTCATAAGGCAATTAAAAGACAAAATGAAATTACATATGACAATTTAAGGGTAATGCTTTAAAAACTACTTCAGAGGAGGACCCTTGGAAGAAGAATGTTATCTGCAAAACTAATTTAAGTTTAAAGTTACAGTAAATTTTCATAATTTACTAAATGGCATTCATGCAAACAAATTATATTCAAATATTATTTTAAAAAAACAAGAGCCTAATAGAAAAGGCAAGACCTAAATGATTAACAACGAACTATTTTTTCTTCATCTTACCAATTCCAGTTATTTCTTTTTTTATCAGCTGTAATTCCATATGTTGAATTTTTATTCTTACTAAGAGGAAGTAGATTTTTCCAACAATCACATCCTTTAAGTGATACCTTAAAAGAAAGAGATTTGTAAAAAGTTAGACTCTTATGCATCTCTGTATGAACTTGGACTGAGAGACCAAAGGTTGGAACACAACTGTTGAGATGATTAACAACTAACAACTAACAGTTAATTTTTTCATTGGTGGTTGGCACAAAGAAGGATTTCCCACAATCTAAGAGTAGGGAGGGAGTATTACATTGAATCATTCAAACATGTTTTCTTGAATACTGTTAGGACCTTAGAATAGAATATTACTAGCATTTGAATTGAGCTGATTTCATTGTAATGTATGCTGATTAGTGTACATTTAAAGTGACAATAAAGTTTTTATTCTAGTCTATTCTCAAAAACAGACAATAGCTAAAAATACCTAGCCACAGTCAAAATTCCAGCTGCTAACATTTTCAAAATTTGTCCCATATGCCCATGGGCAAAATAATCCCACAGACATGTACTCTGCCCATATTTGGTGAAGTCAGATATGCAATTAGAAGACCAGCTTAAATAAAAATACTCCTAGCTATAGCCATTGCTTGATTATGCTAGCAGCAACATAACATTTAAGAGTATCCCCAACCAGCTAACATACTGATGTATAGCTAAAGAATGGCAAAATCTTGAGATTGTATATTCATGTATATTCTTCCAAACTCAGTCTTGTGCAATATTTTAATATTTTCTGCAAATAACTACCGGTAATTTGCTTCATAAGAGAAATCTATTATTCCAATTTATTCTTTACAGCATTATAAGGTTTTATTTGCTGTTCTGGGGATGCTTTAAACACTCAGGATTATGCAAAATTATGAAGTCCAATCTATCATTTCAAATCTCACCACTACTATTTTCTATATGAGTAAACAATTTTATATGTAAGGAAAAAAGAAAAGCTACATAAACACTGTTTCAAAATAAAGATGAATCCTTCTGAACTTGATCACCATAAGAAAAAAGATTGGCAGTTTTCCCTAAATACAACAATTAGCAATCAATTGCTAATCATTCCCATGTGCCTTGAACTGTTCTTGGCTGGCTGATTTTTTTCAATTTCATGTTTGTACTTTATTTAAATCAGACATACTTGGATTTATTATATTCAAATTCTATATGTAGACAATCTTCAATGCCAACTTCCATTTTAATAGAGTTGTTAACATCTGGATATGTTGCAAGCTGGTGAACAATAAGATCGTATTCTTTGATCAAATCTGACAATCTTCTTACTATCGTCACTTTAAGGAAATACCTATAAAAGAATGACTTTATTGGAGACTGCATAACAGAATATTATAAAACTCACATGCGCTTCTTCAATATCGGCTACTGCAGAAATAGCCATCTGTATTAAAATCATCAATAGGCTGTTTTTAGGCTCATAAATTGCACTATAGTTTGAAATGTATGAGAATCAATTCAGTTTATCTACTAATTTCACAACCATGGTAGTTAATAAGAATTGTTTTATTTCCCAAAAGTAAAATGGAAGGTGTTCAGTTTTATGCTACAAAATGTATGCGCACATCTATAGAAAGAATATATTTTGAATCCATCTTGTTTTAACTTTTGAATGCTTCTATTTCTTAAACTTTACAGTATTAAGGGATTTTTATAATTTTTATGGAAACCTCTTTTGATCAAATGTTTCTACAAGCAGAACACATTTGATTCAATCTATCGAATTTTAAAATGTATACATACTGACATTCCAGTTCAGCTAAATTAGAGCGCTATAACTAGTTATATAAAAATTTCATACCTCAATCTAACATTGGCACCAATGTAGGATTCATATGGTTTCTCAACTTGCATAAATTCAAAGTCATAGCTTCTACTTTGTGTTAATTCACCAGGTAAGGCCAGCTCTTTCACTAAGTTTACAAATTCATGAGTATTGCTCTTGTCATTGAAAAGTTCTACAAAATTAAGGAATACAGTCAGAAAATACATAACAGAAACATTTCTGAAGACAATGCAATAGTTTTATTAATAATTTATTATTTGGGTTGTTGTGAGCAACTGGCAAAGAAGATATAAGTGTTGTTATTTTTTTAAAGTGAAGACGGAAGAAAGAACCTAAAAAATAAATTTAATATTTACAAACAACATTTAATTCAATAGTTCAATAGTAATACAAAGATCTTATATTCCACTGGAATTCTAGAATTGTTAATGATGTTGCTTAAATATCCTGATGTATTTTAATATGGACTCCAGAAGATGGTAGAGGACAGGAAGGCCTGGAGGAACGTTGTCTATGGGGTTGCGATGGGTCGGACACGACTTCGCAACTAACAACAACAACAATTTTAATATCAGCATAACCAATTTAACAAACATTTTATATTGCATATTTAACAATCAAAGTTTAGTAGGACTTCCTCCTCTCAGTTTCACATTTCTCATAATATAAGCATGGAACTATCCTTTAGAAAAATGTTTGCTGATAAAACATAGGCGGCTAAATTCAGTATTAGGCAAGCCAATTTCCTCTTGTGCAACAGGACTTTCTTCTACTCTCCTTTTTCTACTCTCTTTCTTTCAATCTATTATATCATCTTTACTTACTGTACCAGTTTTGGGACCAACTTAATAACCAATATGTTGTGCAAAACATTCTGCAACATGTGGGAACATAAAAGAACCTCTCTTTGAATCACATGCCTTTTGCAAGGCTCGTACAACAGGTTTGGACATTGCCTTTGGCTATCTTTATTCATGTGCCAAGGCAGAGGAGACTGCTTTAACACTCCTGCAACTTCTCTTTTGAATATTTTGCACAACCCAGCTGTAAAATCTACATTTTTTTAGGACAGCAGCTTGATAAAACAGTAGAGGAAACGTTTAATTCTTCTCAAGTATTGTACTATTGACTTCAAAGACATATTCAGCTTATTTGAAACTGCTTCATTGGCTGCACAGTGCCAGGTCTATAACTCACCAATTTGCCCTACGAATTCAATTCGTATTCCTTGATGCTCTAACCTCTTTCCATGTTGTTTAAAGACTATGTTTACCTGAAGAAAAAAACCCAAAATATTAATGTAGTGCTCCTGTACCTCTGTACAGTTTCATAAATCACTATACAAGGACGTAGCTGCAATAGGAACAATTTATACCCAATTTTTGATTTTATTTGTAGAACTTCTTATGTGTATGCCTTCAAGTCAGTCGACTCCTAACAACTATTTATTAAATTTCTACACAGGGTATGTTCATGCAATTTTCTTCGCAATATTTTCAGAAGTTGTTTTCCATTGTCTTCTGCCTAGGGAAATGACTGGCTCAAAGTTGCCCAGTAAGTTTTCACGGATTAGAAGTACAATCTCTTGGTCTTCAGTCAGTACCGTATATTCCGGCGTATAAGACGACTTTCTAAACACTTAAAATCTTCGCAAAAGTCGAGGGTCGTCTTACTCAGCAAGTTTTCTCTTCCCCCCCCCCCTCTCTCTCACTCAAAAAGAGTCCTAGGGTTATTATTAAAACCAGCCGATCAACTAAAGATATCTCTTTCCAGCCTCTATACTGGGAGTACAATAGGCATTATCTGGCTGTCGTGACAGTAAGATTTCCTGGAGGTTTAATCCCCATTCTATAATGCTACATTGCAAACCATCTCCTCTCTTCTTCCCTCCCTTTTGCATCCCAATTCCTTGCCCACCCCTCCAGAACTGCGGATTGGTAGTGGCCATCCCCTGATTAATTCATTCAAAGGAAGTAGAAAGGGATGGCCCATGTAATGGGGAAGGGGGGAAAAGAGTTGTAGGGTGGTTTTTTTTATATAATGAAAACAAACCTAAGCATCTGCGTCCATTCGAGGCACTTCTCAGTGCTTCTTCATGCAGGCTTTTCAGCGTTTACCTCTCACTGCCGGTGAGAGTAGCTTGGGGGAGGCGGAGCTTATGGGTCTGGAAGGGGAGGGGTGTCAGCTAAATTCCTCTCGGATTTACGAAGCAGGAATGGAGTGGGGACAGAAAACAGCCACACAATCCTTTCGCCTGTCGACTTCCACCGAGCTTATGCAAGCAGTTTCCCCCCCCCTCCCCGCCTAAATAAACTTGCATGGTGCATTTGTGGTGTTATTTATGACAGATCCTGGCTGGTCAATCTGGGGGGAGGATTGTTTTAGCCTAGATTTTGGGTAGAGAAGCTTAAAGATATAGATAAAATGCTTTTTGTTAGTTTTTCCTTCCTTCACATAAAATGAACATTACACCTGACCAAACTCTGAAATCAGATATATTTCTAAGGGGACAGCTTTCATAATGAAACCATTTGTTAACATATAAAAATGATAATATATTCTAGGTTTACTCAGAAAGCAAATAAAACATAATTAACCAGCCACTGAAACTTTAAATCACATTATAGCCATATTAACATGTGCTTCTGCTTATATGTTCTATTATGGGCCATTCTGAGGGTACAAAGGATACAATTTACCTTTCCTGAAACTGATTCTCCATCATAGAACAAGTAATGTTTTTCTATTTTGTTATCTTCTGTTTTGATTTCAGCTGTTTTTCGTGATTCAGCATCATTCAGAACAACATCAATCTCACATATGGGACCAAACAAATTTCCAAGAAAACTCTGCAAAAAAAGTAATACTTATTTAAATGTATGAAGTAGGAACTTTATCTAGTACAATAGTATAGACAAAAATACTGGAAGCTTTGGAAGTAATTATTCAACATAAAAATTAAAAAAATATATACATTCATAATAGAAAGAAACTCTTACAGCAAGCTATTAGGACAAGAATACTGCTAAATTCACTGTAAAAAGTAAATAGTAAATATCTTGCTACAGTAGAAACCTAGTTTTTATAACAGACTCCCTCTACACTATTCTGTTATACTCTGTATCACTTTAAATCAATTTTTTAAACATTTTATTTCTAGGATTTAAATATGTATAGGAATGTAATACAAATTACAGTAAATTAAATTAATATACTAGATGCATGATTCTTTAAGAAAAATATGTTATGTGGTATTTGAACTACATTAGACCCTAAATTAAGCCTAAATTAACATATAAGAATATATTACAAACCCCTCCTCAGAGATTCTGCCTATAAGAGTCTGGGCTAGTTGGACACTGTTTTTATGAAATGGCCACCATAATGGATTCAACCAGTTACAATACACTTTCTTATGAGATACAGGCTAATGAAGTTGTTACTTCCTATCAGTCTCTTTTATCATTCTCTATGCTGTCTGCCAACTTAACGCTTTCTTTGCAGGAGAGCACCCTTCCAAACCAAAGCACAAATAAAATGGTGCCATAAAATGTATTGCCCATGTTCTACTGTACAGGTAATCCTTGACTTACAGCCATTCATTCAGCACCTGCTGAGGTGATAACAGTGCCGGAAAAAATGGACAACTCCTGTCCAAGTTACAGCCATTGTAACATCTTCATGATTCTGTGATTAAAATTTGGGAGCTTGGCAACCTGCACACACTTACAACCTCAACTTTCCTCACCCGCCTACCTCTGTCTCATCTATATACCCTTTTTAGCTAGCTGCTGCTCTGCTTTGCAAGGAGCAAACAAAATCATGCAGCTCTGGGGCTGCTTGCCATACCATGGACAGGGGTAGGCAATCTTGGCTCTTTTATGACTTGTGGACTTCAACTCCCAGAATTTTTGAGTCAGCATGGCTGGTTCAGGAATTCTGGATATTGAAATCCACAAGTCATAAAAGAGCCAAGGTTGCCTACTCCTGCCCTAGGACAAGGGTGTCAAACTCGCCACATCATGTGACATGTCACCATATATTGTGACTTTTTTTGCATTCACAGAGCTGGGGTGGGCGCAGCTGCCGTATGATGCAACTGGCCCACGGGCTGTCAGTTTGACACCCCTGCCCTAGGAAGTATTAATTCACCCAGTTGCCTTTTCTCTTCAGCCACACCTGGCTTCCTAGTCTAGCGCAGCATATGCCAGCAAGCATTCATTTACTCCCAGACCAGTCCAGCCAGCACCAGCACGTGTTTGTTTGCTCCCCCCAGCAAGCATTCATTTACCCAGTTGCCTTTTTCCCCAGTTCCTTTCACAGACCTTTCACCTTTTGTTGTGTCCTCTTTGGATCCAGCTTCTCCAGTGAGTGTTCTTACAGTACACATGACTTTCTGAGTCTTTGTAAAGCAGCATTCTCTTTGAAAACAGCCATCTTTCCAAAGGCATTCTGAAGACAGCACAGCTTTACAAAGGTCCAGTACTGTAGGAAACATTTGCTGGAGAAACCAGGTCTGAAAAGGAGACAGCAAGAGGTCAAAGGTCAGTGCAGAGAACTGGGAGAAATGAATGCCTGCTGGCAGTTGGTTGACTCAGGCTGGGAAGCCACATACAGCTGGGGAGGGGAGTAATTGGGCAAATGAATGTTTGCTGGCACTTGCTGATTGCTGCCCTGAAGGCAGGGGCCAAAAGGGCATAGATGGGAGAGACAGGTGAATGGGGGGACGTTGGAGGCAGTCCCTTACCTGAGGTTCAGGGCTGGAGGGGCTGAGCCCAGAATGGCATGGATTGGGGTGAGTGCTCAGTTAATGACCCATGATTCTCAGTTAATGACTGCAATAGGAAATATCAGGATTGCTTTACAAGTAGGTGCAGTCACATGACATCTCACCGACTTAGACAGTAATCTAAAATATGGATGTAAGTCAAGGACTTACCTCTACTATTGCTTTTATATAGATATTTTTCCTCACCTGGTAAATATACTGACACTTTCAACATAAACATTCTGCTTACCTTTCCAGATGTTATCAAATTCTATTATTCTGCTAGTAAGGCAAGATTTAAGCTGACCAATTCCCATTCCTCAATATACTGTAACTGTGCCTAGCTTTTGAACAAAGCAAAATATGTACATATAAATAGATGTCACCTTATTCTATTTTATCTTAACCTACTTTTACTTTAGTTTTTTAGCTTTATCTCTTAGTTTTAGACAAATAATGTTCTGGGGATTTTGCTCATGAAGATGTACAGTGGGGCAAAAAAGTATTTAGTCAGCCACCAATTGTGCAAGTTCTCCCACTTAAAAAGACGAGAGAGGCCTGTAATTGTCATCACAGGTAGACCTCAACTATGAGAGACAAAATGAGAAAACAGCACTGAGCTACAACTATCTACCATTTATTTTCTGTGAGAGTAGAGGCATTGCTAGAAATGCCTCTATTCTGAAGCTGGTGCTTAAAACTCAAAAAAAATAAATAAATCAGGAAACCTAGCAGGCACTGAGGGAAATATTACTAGGCATTTTGGATCTAAGAATGGCACAGTGAGGACCCAAATTTATAACTTCAAATATATTTTCTTCTTCCCACTTTTCCATGAACACCTTTCAGCTACTGTATAATTTATTTTGCTCAAAATCATGGACAGATGGTTTTCCAGGCAATTCTAACTTAAGGAGGAGAAATGTTTGCAAATTTTACTATAACTTGGTCTTGCTGTATCATCTTCATCTAGAATATTTTTTTTCTTAGCTTGTGGCATAGAAACAGACTAAGGAGGGCTAGAGAGAAGTTCCCTGAGGATGGGCTCCAGCATGAGTCCAAAAGCTCAGAAAACAAAACTTTTGGTCCCGGTGACTGACCCAGATAGGATCCTGCAGACTTTGGAGACCCTACAAAATGGGAATATTTCAGCCACTAGTCTCCCCCTTCCATAACTCCCTCCTATCACGTGAAAAGGGTGGAGTAGTCAAGCCTCTCCACCATTCATCCGCCATCAGATATTCCATCGGATATTTTTTAAAACATTTGTTGAAAAAAGAAGTAATAGCCAACAGCTAAACAATGATGATGACAATAATATGGACCAAAATGGTTGCTCTTTATCAAACCAAGGCTCTTTTTAATTTGCTGAGCCAGCTAGTTCAGCATCACCGAGAAACCAATTTAGCCATGGTTCATTCCAGAGACATATCATGTAAATGAAGTATTTAAACATGATCACACAATGTGATCACCACAGCTTAATGACTGTGGGGAATGAGCTGCAAATCTGCAACTGACTCCCCCTTATACTCCATATATTTTAAATGATAAATACAGTGATCATAGCTTGATATGGTACCATATCTGGACAGCAAAAAAGCAGACAACTACTAGAGTTTGCTTTCTGCTGCTCTCTGTTATCATCCAAGATTGTCCATATTTTTTTAGCCTAGATATAGTAGACCTATATCTCCCCACTGGGGGGGGGGGGAAACATGAGTACAAGAATTCTAAGAGGGTCATTCGCCTCATGAAAGCTGTTATTTTCTGTTTAATAAATATATATTTTGTACATTTCATGTCCTTTTTAAAGAATAACGAAATCAGTTAATTTAAAACTTGAGATATTGTTGCAACATCTTACCATCCTAAATATGCAGCCAGTGCCCACTGTTATTCAACATATGGAAAGGAATGCACCAACATAACTTTCTAACAATGCTTTTCCTTGGAGCAATCATTGAATAGATATTTACTTTCCCCTCACAAAAAGGCAGAGTTTAAAACGTAAAATAAACAGCAATGTCATTCAACTGTGTATTTTAGAAAAAATGCAACGAACTACTCAAACTTTGTCAATAACTTTTATATTCTTTTTCCAGCCAAGCATAGAGAGCAATAAACTCCGCAGGTATCAGTGAACATATTACGATGAGTTCATTTTCTGTACTTATCAGCTTCCATAACTTATATTCCCCAAGCTGGACTGTTAAATCAAGCCCATTGCTGCTCTTCAGGCTCACTACTGAAATAAAGTTTAGGTCAGGGGTCTTCAAACTTGGCGCTTTTATGACTTGTGGACTTCAACTCCCAGAATTCCTCAGCCAGGTTGGGAGTTGAAATCCATAAGTCATAAAAGGGCCAAGTTTGAAGACCCCCGGTTTAGGTACACATCAGGATAAAAAGACGGCAAGCAGTTCAGTAATGGCTGCATAAGAAAAGTGAGTCTTCCTTTCAGGATTCCCAGCATAGCTTTGGCTTTTTAATAATTAATCAAAAATGGCATTATCCTACCTGTCAAAAGAACAACCCCAGCAAGAGAGGTTCCCCATACTTCATTTTGCAGCTTGGGTGTGCTTCCTAAGCACACGCCAGCACGACTAAAGCCCGGGAGAAACACTAGACAGCACCAAAAAGCAGCAGAACGTAATTCTTGGCCGCCATTTAGCGGTCCTTCGGATTTTTGCAGCCCCGATCTGGTCGCCTTCGGTAACCACCCAAGGACACTTAAGGGCGAAGTTGGAAGGTGCAGCACTCCAGATCCAAAGGAGCCACCACGATGCAACGGGACGCTGCCATCCCCGCGAGGTTTTCCTCCACACGTTCTCCGCTCCTTTGCTCTCGCGGGTCGCGACTAGATAAGACACGCGCCGGGCCGAAGGGCTTCCCCACACCCGTCACACCGAGTGCGCGCGCGCGCGCGGGATTGATTTCGACGTCACCGAGGAAGGCGGAATGTGCGCGTGGAGGGACGAGGGGGGCGAACTCGAGTGGCCGCCCCCGCGCGCCGAGAAACGGCCCTCGGCGGGGGCGGAGTCAACAACGGCCGAAGAAGAAACGGAGGGGGAACCCCGTCTCCATGGGAACGACCAGCCTTTCTTACAGCCTCAAGAGCGCCCGAGGCCCGGCCCGTTCAGAAGGATGGGAAAGGGGGCCAAGGGGAAAGCAGCAGCACTGGCACCATTCACAACCCACCATTCACCATTCCAACCGTCAGTTCCAACGCGGCGCGCCCCAATAGCCTTAATATTCCCCCGCTTCCTTAACCGGGCAGCAGCTCACTTACCATTGTCAGCCACACTCCTTGGGCCCCCCGCCCCAAGCAACCGTATAACTCCGGCCCGCGCCACTATCATGTGACCGAAGAGGTCGTCACTTCAGTCCACGCCCCCGACACGTGACCTCCCTTTCCACCGAGGAGGAGTAAGCCGAGCAGGCGGAGCGGCCGACTCCGGTAGCCTGGGCGACGGTTGGGGCGCTGTCCTGGGCGTGTCCAGAGAGGAAAGATCTTGTCTAGGATTTGGAGGTTTGATATCTCTGTGATGAAAATGCTTTCCCCCTCTTGCAAGTCTATGGATAAAGTCTGTTCTTTGATACATTTAGCCCAGGGGTCTTAAAACTTGGCCCTTTTATGACTTGTGGACTTCAACTCCCAGAATTCCTCAGGCAACGTGCCTGGCTGAGGAATTCTGGGAGTTGAAGTCCACAAGTCATAAAAGGGTCAAGTTTGAAGACCCTTGATTTAGCTGATGCCAAACTTTGCCGGAGTTTCTTGGTGCATACGAAGTTTCTGGGTTTCTGAACTATTAACTATATGGGCTGAGTCGGTTGGATAAGTGGAACCAGTATATTTTTCCATTTTCCAAACTATGATTCTAATATTCTGGTGAATGAAGTGTCTACTCCAGAGTTGGCAGCCAATTCTTCTGATAAAGTGGTTAGTCCCTACAAAGCCTTAGTGATAGTTACATCTGGGGCTGTATTATTAGGAATATAAGTACAGCATCCTTTTTCTCCTACCATTACACAAACACCACCTTTCTCTGTTAACAACATGTCTAATGCTAATCAGTTCTCTCAGGCCATTCGACTTGTAGCATCCAATTGTTCAGCTATGCCCTTAATTGTATCTCTAGTATAATTTATGAAACTTTGTTGGTTGTAATAAATGTATTTGATCCAATCCACATTCTTGTTTATAGTTACCCACCAAAATAGAGATGATTCAAAACCAGCCATTATCTGATTCCTTGCTTTTATTCATCTGGCACTCCTCTAGGAACCCCAATGGCATCTCTATATATTCTATCATCAAAGGAGGTTGCCAGTGCCCTTTTTATCCTTCTTGAACTGGAGGAGTTTGTATTAGGTGATTGTAGGGAGGCAATTAAGACTGAGGTTCCTAACGTAACTATTGTGCATGTCCCAGTCCATTGAGCTGGTAAAATTGGGTATAGGATATCTGTTCCACAATACCACCAGATATCTGCTCTGGGAATTTTTAGCTGTGTCAAGTTAGCACACAGATGATAAATCTTTTCACATTGTTTCACTGTCCCAATATATTGAGGAGGTTTGTTCCCAGGTCTGCTTAGACAATGGGGAAAGGTAACATTCCTTGGCCTACTAAAGTAAGGGGCTTCCAGGAAGTTATGTCCTCTCTCCCAGGGAAACCGATGGACAGCTTCTTGACATTCTGGTTATCCCAGGCAGTTTGGTGCTGAAATAAGGCTAGAAAACATTCCCAGGTTATTCACTCCAGTGGGGGGAGGTATTATATTCCCTATAAGTCTCCCTTGTGAACAAATATAACAGTCAGATTGATTTAGACTCTTGACTGTATATTTAGCCCATTCTAACCAGGTGTTTAAATACCTTTTTCTAGGTGATGGGGGAACTGGTTTTTCCACTTTAGGGGATACCATGTGCGGTTTTGCAGTAGGCAGCTTTGATGTTGGTTTAGGCTTGGGCTTGGGTTGTGACTGCCTTCTCTTCTCCTTTTGGATTTGTTTCCATAACCCTAGATTGCTGGGATTTCCCATGCTCAGCTGAATACAAACTTTCTCACCCCTCCTATGATCCTTATGATCTTGAGTCAGGATAACCTGATATACTCTTTCACCAGTACAAGTTCCTTCTTCCATTATTTCACCAAAGCTTGAGAGGGGAATTCCTACATAGATCTTGGCTGGGATAATAATTGGAACACTGGAATACTTGGAATGCCTAGTTATTGGCCTACAGCATTCAAGATTCCTGTCTGGGTTATTCCTGCTGTCATTATCACGAGGCATATCAATCCTGATAGGATTGGCATTTTCTTCAGGCTTAGGGGTACCATCACATGACCCATACAAAAAGGCACAAAACCGATGGATGTCCCCACAGTTTAGGCAGTGGTAACAACAACAACAGGTTGGATAATTGTACCAACAAAGACAATCACAGAACTTACACATGTGGTTGTGGGTTAGGTCCTGGATTGGGTTTAGGTCTTTCACAGTAGAGTTTCTTATTGATTACGAGATACCCCAGAATCCCCAAATTTAACAAGGAAACCCACGATGCCCATCTCCAATGTTCTTCTAGCATTTACTGAAAAGGGAGATGTCCTTAGTAGTAAGAGTAAACAAATTGGATTGCTCGATAAAAGTACTGACAGTATCACTCAATTATCACCAAGTTGTCCTAGTCCTCATCCTTCTCATGAGGCAATCCTAAGAGGTCTTCAATTATAACTATGTCACACTCTTCTACACAATTTCTATGAACTGGGGCACAATCACAACAATGTGTACAACAACAGCAATTACACCAACACCTGCAATCACAAAACCAGCAAATCAGGTAGTTGCTTAGCCTTCTGATTCGGTAGTTCAATTTCCTCAGGTTGTGGTTTGCCAAATAATAGTGTGGACATCCAATCCGTCCTACAAAAGAAGAACAGAACCAACAACCACACAACAACCAATATTCCAGTGAGCACAAATACCCCTATTGCAACTGCATTTAGAGTCATTTAGAATGCTTGTGAATTTTGAATTTCAGAGGATTTTCACCGGGTTCTATAGTCCAAACTGGTTCAGTGCTGGCTTTCACTGTGGTATTGTGGGTCCACCCCTTCTCTTTTGTGCAGACTGCAGTTTCTGTGATGAGAAGCACTTGGAATGGTCCTTCCCACTTGGGTTGGAGTTTTTCCTCTTTCCAGGTTTTGATCAACACCTACTGTCCTGGTTAGAATGGATGGACCACAAAGTCAAGCGGAGGGCATTGGGTCAGCAGTCTTTTTGTCCTAAGGATAGATAAATATCTGGACAGATCACAGTCATATTTTCTCCCTTAGTTCTATTCCTTCATCCTTTTCCAGACTGCCCAGGTAGGGCAATCCAAACAGCATTTCATAGGGAGATAAACCAATATGCTTCCTGGGCTTAGTTCATAGTCTAAGAAGTGCCAATGGTAAACAGTTAGTCCAAGGGAGTTTAAACTCCATCATTAACTTGGTCAATTGTTCTTTTAATAAACCATTAGCCTTACGAAGTAGCTTTCCAGGCCACATGATGTTCCCACTTTATTCCCAGTGCTCCCATGACCCCTTGTAATACTTTAGTTGTGAAATGTGTACCTTGATCACTGTCAATCACATTCACTATCCCATATCTTGGTATAATATACTCCAATAAGATCCTGATCACTGTGTTGGCTGTAGCCACTGCAGTGAGGTAAGCTTCCACCCATTTGGTTAAGTCAGCGGTTCTCAACCTAGGGGTCACGACCCCATTTGGGGTCGATCAACGATTTCACGGGGGTCGCCAAGCAAGGCTGTCCACCATTTTTTCCCCTTTTCCGGCAGGTGCCTTACCTCCCTTGGGCTGGGCCAGCTGGTTGCCCAGCCGGTGGTTGGCCTGCTCCGTCTCTGCCGCTTGCCAGCTACGCCTCAGCCAGCGCAGGGGGAGGCATAACGCATGCACGGCGCTCCCGGGCAGGGACAGTCCTCGACTTACGACCAGTTGGGTAGTCCTCTACTTATGACTGGTTTAGTCCTCGACTTACAACCGGTTTAGTCCTCGACCTATGACCGGTTGGGGGTCGCGGCATTAAAAAAGGTTGAGAACCACTGGGTTAAGTGAACGACCATGACTAGTAAATACCTTATTCAGCCACTAGGTGGCAGTTCAGTGTAGTCTATTTGTATGTGTTCAAAAGGTCAGTGCAGGAGGTCTCCCCCCATATCTGTTGCTCTCAGAGCTTTCTTATTAACTTTCTTGCAAATTAAACATCCTGCTGCTATTTGCTTTGCAACAGTGAAAATTCCCTTGCAACCATACTTTTTAAAAAATACATCCACTAAAGCCTGGGCTCCCCAATGCGATCCCTCATGGAGAGTTTAGATTACCTGGAAGGCAGATATTGAATGAGCTTATTCAATATCTGCCTTCCAGGTAATATCCACTTTCCTTCTTCATTCCTTTCTGCTCCCATTTTTAACAACATCTTTTCTTCAACTTCACTGAAAATTGGAACTAGTTCTCCTTTTAAAGTTGGAGTTGTAAACATAATCATTTCTGGATCTTGGCTTCTTGCTGCCTTAGCCTCATGGTCAGCTAAATTATTTCCTATGGCTTCGAAAGTTGCTCCTCTTTGATGTCTGGCTACATGTACTTCAGCAATGTATTTGGGTAGTTTTAAAGCTTCTATTACTTCTTTAACTAAATCCTCATGTATTAACCCTTTTCCTTTTGAATTCATCAATCCCCTTTCTAACCAAATTTTTCCAAATGTATGGACCACTCCACAGGCATATTTAGAGTCAGTGTAAATAGTGCCAGATACTCCTTTTAATAATTTCAAACTTTGTCTAAGGACATACAGTTCACAGGTTTGCACAGACCAAAATTTAGGCAAGCTTCCAGCCTCCACCAGAGTCTTATCAGTCCCATCTACAATTGCATAGCCGTTTTGTCTCTTCCCTTCTACCACATGAGAGGACCCATCTATAAATCAGTGTAGCCCTTTTCTAGTGGGGAATCCTGCAAATCACTTCTTATTTTGGTTTGCAGGTCTATAATATACATGCAGAAATGTTCTAATTCTACATTTGAATCCCCTTTTCCCTCTAAAAATTGTGCATGATTCAAATTTGAATCTGTAGTTAAAACTAAGTCTGATTGTTCCAATAACATTGCCTCCTATTTCAAAATCCTAGAATCAGTTAGCCATCTGTCAGCTCTTTGTTTCAAAATAGTTTTGACCTGATGAGGTGTGCTGACAATCAGGGCACCTCCAAAGTTAGTTTCCTACTTTCCTGCACTAAAATGTCTGTGGCTGCTATAGCTTGGATATAGACTGGCCATCCCCTAATTATGGGGTCCATTAGTTTGGATAGGAAAGCTACTGGTTGTTGTTGTCCCCATTTTCTCTGAGTTAATACACC